AGAAGTTAATTACCATATTGCAAAATTGAGTGATATGAGAAGTATTAGTTTCTTCAAGATTGAGGATACACTTTACATAATTATACCAAATACCATAAAAACCTGATTTTACAGTTTTCTGCCAACAGCTTACGAACACTGAACATTGTCTAAATTAAAATATCTCCTTATAAAGTTCTTAGTTTTGAATCTAAGTAGTAGTTTTTAATGTTGTTTCAATGCCTTTAAAATATTTTTTTCGAAAATAAAGAAATGCAGCATTTATAGGCTGAGAAATTCTGAATAAGTAGGATAGATTAGTTAAAGTTTTTTATATTATAAAGGTAATTGTCATTGTGACTTAATGTTTTCTAGAGATTTATTGTAAATGGGAGAGTGATAGACAGATGTTTCTTCCTTGTTTGAAACTCTTTGCTAAACAAAACCACAACTTCGTTTGCAGTTGAGTCCAGGATATTCAGATTTATCAGTGAGCCTAATATTGTTATGAAGTTATGTTCCATGAGATTAAAGGTTTAAGCGTGAACTTTCCATTTCTTCTGAAATGACATCATAAGGACAAGTGTCAGATAGCTGATTAGTTTGGATTTCTTCACAAGTTTTCGCAGATTCTGAATTCAGCTAATCGTCATCCATTATTTTCTGCAAAATTATTTTGTTCGCTTTATCTACTGATATGATTCCTAATCTTGTGCTAGTCTATAATTTTTTAAATGATGGGTGAATTAGGTCTATTCTATTATGTTTGTTGATTGCTTACTGAGCTGAATAGAAAGCTTTGAACACCATATAATCTTCATTATATCTTTTCGGCCTAAGACCTCATCGTTTTTGTAACTTAAAATTTGTACACAATCAATAATATTTATTGACATTAGCTTAGATATGTCGTAACTATTGATAATTAATAAGGTTTATGCAGACAAGAATGATATAGGCGGTCGCTTTGTTTAATGTAATGGCTTTCGCGGTTTTGGAATTTTATTTGTAAATAATGTTCAGCATGTCTTTCTTTGTCATTTCGTTTTTCGTCTTGCATAAAATTCACTGAAGTGATTATGTTACTTTTTGAACAACACTACTAACAAAGTTCAATATGTCCTTTAAATACAATAGAATAATCAACCTGTTGATTTCCGGTTATAGTGAAATTGTACTGGAACTTATCTATCCGTAGTTTTTTGTTGATATTATTGTATAAAAAGACAATGAGAACTTCACTAGCAAAATATGAAGCTCAAAAAATTTAAGTTTTTCATAACTTTCCTGTTCAGTGATAAATTTTCCCAATCATGTCAATATTGTCAGAACACTGAGTTAGTATTCAGGAAAGGATATTTTCATTTTTAATTCACAATAAGGCATGATTATAACCAAATATTACAACTATATGACTAACATAATTCAAATTTCTTCATTTCAATAAAGTATAAATTCCCATTGTAACTTAATTAAAGTTGCCTGAAGGCTAGATATTAATAAAGAAAGATTGAAATCAACTAATGAACACACAGTACAACTTAGATACAATGATTCTTGTGTCTTTCTATTCATGTATAGCATTTTTGAGGTTTTCTATACATCATAAACATAACAAAAACTAATGTAATTATAAAAGATATATATTTCTTTCTTTTGCCTTCTATGAAATAGTTAGGATAGCAATTATCTTCATTTCTAATCATTTTCTAGATTAATATATATTTATTTTTTATTTGTATTATTATTAATTATTATCATTAGTTTTCCGTTTTATAGTTTCATAATTATTATTAGAGAACTAATTGTTTTGTGATGTTCATTATTATGCGACAGGTTTATTCTTTTTGTGTCATTCATATTCACAAACACTTGTATATAATCTGACTAAATTATGATTATTTATGAAAACTATTAGACGATATGTATGGTTTTATTTTATGTATTATTAGTAGTTACTATGCATTGTCACTATTGTTTACTATTGATATACTTTAACTAAAACTCAACAAATTATAATGATTTCATAAAAATCACTAAGCTACAATTGTAAATAATATCCTAGTTATACCAGTTTCGATTAACTAACGCTCCCAAATGCCCTGGAACAGCCTAGGGTGAGGAGAGTTGGTTCACCCTCTCGAAATGATTTCATATGGCTATGTGCATACAACCACTGCCAGGGAAATCCTACTCACTGTCTTCTGACCGTAGGGGTGTTGTTTACAAAGTTGAGAGGACAAAGAGCGAATGTCCAGCGCTTTAACCGGGTTGGCGGACATGGAGGATACAACTAGGGTAGTTGAAAAACCCTCATTCCAATCTCATGGTCACATGGCCTCCTGTATCCTGAAAGAACAAATGGCGTATGAACCAATCATTGGTCACCAGTTACCATGGGACTGAATCTCCTGATGTTGCTCTTCTGCATTGCGGGTCAGACTTGTAGGTCGAAAGCTCTGGGTATGACCTCCTAAGAAAACCCGAGCAGTATCACAGCCAGTACGCAAACCAAGTGACTTGTATGACACATATCTATTTGGTGCCCCTTTGTACTAATACCTAAGTGTTCAAATAAGTGAATACGATTAACGAACAATATTCCCAGAAAAGTTCTTGAATTTATTTATTGAATGAAATTATAAATTTTATCAAATTATTTCTCTGTACGGGCATTTGTGTAACTATCATTCGAATAGGTGTGAGAATGCTGTTTGATGATGTAATTTAAGGCCTGATTAGTAATTGTCTTTCGTAGTAATACAAGTAAATTGGTAAGTAGATAATTTAGGAAAAAATTTTAAATCCATTTCTAAAGTGAACATTTTCAGTTTTACTTAACAATAATGGCAATTACAATTATCTCAGAAATCTTATAAATAACATTATCGTTCATACCTTAAACCTACCCTGGTAATATTGGCTTATTATCCAGAGTGATTAGGTTTCGCTTTGTGTTCAGATTATTATTATTATTATTATTATTATTACTCTTATCATTATCCTTATCTCCTCTTACCCCGTTTCCTGTCTAGTTGACCTTTTATTTTTATATATAAATGCTCTTAACAAGTGTATGTGTGACCAGATTGTTCGAAATGTATTGCGCTAATATATCACATAGTTCTGTTAATCTTCGTCTTCTAATATCATTATCGAAATCTAAATGATATCAATCATAGAATTATTGAAAACCATAAAGCATTAGATGGTTGTTTCGATTTAGTTTGTAACTCCCTGCGACTGTACTACTATGAACGCATAGAAGATAGTGCATAGTAGCTTAAAATTATGCATTAGTTACAATATACATAAAATTGCAACTTACGAGCTCTTTAAATCACTAAACATCACATGATCTAAAGTTTGAAAAAACGGATCAAATAAAACTAGGTATGATATTATTTATGGAAGAGTTTGGGTTATAGACGACATGCTGTGTAAAAAACGATCCATTCTATTTTTAGTGAATAGATAAACCTATACACACAGATGAAATGGAGTGAATTATTAACTTTATGGTTATACAGAATATATATATATATTTAGCTGCATCAAATTCAAACAAACGTTTACAACACTTAGATTGGTGAGAAATACCTCATAATACAACTCCACTGGTACTGACATAATTACGGACGATTTTGGTGCCAAACCTGTGTGAAATGTCTATAAATAGAGTCAGATAAGATTATATACATTACGAGGTAATATGATATAAAAATCATATTGTTTTTATGATCATTTCTGTTGTGTTTTATGAATTTCTTATTCAACAAAGTCAGTTTCTAGTGAAAACATTTTTATACAGTAATTTACAATGGATTTAATTGATACAAACATGAAAATGGACTACAATACAGTGTTTTCTAAAAATTTTTTAAAAAAAGATTTAAACTAATGGAATGTATCACATAAAACATTAAGTTTAAGAAGTTAAACTTTCTAGTGAAGTCATATAGATCTTTCGTCTTTCTTGGTGTGAAATTTATCCTTACAAGTTAGTTTCAGGAGTTTCTGTAGGTTAAGGAAAGTTTTCATGATAGAGGTGTCATTAACTGGAGCATCATCAGAAATCGGAAATCATTGAAATACTGTTTCATTTTTATTTAATACCTAATATTTTATATCTTTGATGTAGTAAAGTAAGTTTTTGGGTACAGAGCTGTCCTAATACTATTTAAGCAGAATGTCAGAAATCAATAATCCCTACTTTCACCTACTGATATAATTAGTGATTAATTGACTTATTTCAAACTCGGTCGTCTCCAAAATAGCTTCCAGACTTCTGTCACAAATATTCATAATCGAGCAGTGGACTATTCATTGTTCAGATAGAGGTTTAGACAGAAATCAGTATCGTGGAAAGATGAAATCATATGTGTACGCGAAATCGAGAAACTTTTGGCCTTCTGTGATTGATTAGTTGGCAATAATCTGTGATGTAAATAGTTTTTATATCATCCAGCTTATATATTCATGCTACACAATATACTTTATGTAGACGAACTTAGTGAAAGCTATTTAATAATATAAGACAACAAATCAACTCTCAACTTAAGAAGAAATTAGGAAAAGACGTTGGAAGTGGATAGGACACACACTGAGGAAATCACCAAACCGCATCAAGAGGCAAACGCTAACTTGGAATCCTGAAGAGAAATGAAAAAGAGGAAGGCCAAAGTACACATTACGTCGGGAATCGTAAGCAGATATGAAAAGGATGAATAGCAACTGGGAAGAACAGGAAAGGATTGTTCAGGACCAAGTTAGATGAAGAATGCTGGTTGTCAGCCTATTCTCCTCCATGAGGTGTAAGAGGTGAAAGTAAGTAAGTAATGACTATATCTGTTTCCTAATGCTCACATCGTCAATAATGATTAAAAAACGTTTGACTGAAAAAATTGCTTTTATGATTAAAGCAACAATTTATTTGAGCTTTTAAAGAGTCAAAATAATAAACGCTGAAGAAAAGGAATATTCTGTTGTTTAAAACAAAATGAAAAAATATATTCACTCACTTTAGCTAAGTCGACTAGAGTGTTTGCAGAATCTTGGACTTTTCTTTGGTCGAGTTTCATTCTGCGAAGACTATATAGATATATTAGAAACAGTAACAAAAAAGTAAATACACGTTTCCAAACCACAATAACAATTGAATTTAAGCCAAAAGTGATTTTATTCTTCAGAATAGTAATTACAATATTCAACTTATTAAGTTTTCATTGTTTATAAGTATTCATTTTCATAAGGAAAGATGGATAGCGGATGGCAATGGGATCAATGTCGTTTCGTCATATTCCGGACTCGTCAGATGGATGTACCTGCGTATCAGAGATGATGTTCACTCCGGTACTCGAACCCAGTAAGATTCACTTCAAACGTCATCTCATTATCCACGCAGATACTGATTTCTAATAGGCACCTGCTTGTGCAATGAAGTGAAGCTTAAATCCACCTAGTGTTGTTTTACTTGTATCTTCCCATTGTTATGTAAGACTGCAATTGATCAGTCTCTTATTGAATATTCATTTTAATGTTAAAAAGTGGAAAGCTATTGAAAACAGTCATCCTATTTTTATAGTACTCTGAAATTTTATGTGTGATATGGATTTTATAGTTGATTTTTACAGGTAAACGACCATTTACTAGTTTTAAAGTTGATTAAAGCCCAAAAATGTTTGTCATTCTTCTATTGACTAAAAGTATGAAATACAAAAACGAAACCATTCAAAGCAAGCAAATATCCCATTGTGGTATAGCTTTAAGATGTCATACTATAGAAAAAAATCAAGATATTCTTATATAGATACCTTCATACAGTAGTTATGAGTGATGGAACCACGGACCAATTAATGTCGAGTTTGGTTTAAGTAAAGTCAGTAACTGAGATTGTTTAATCAAACTGACTGTGGCAGTTAAAACATGTGTTTTAAATGTCAAATAATCAACATTAAGTAGTTCTTTGTGGTGGATGTTTATGAAAAGAAACTTTGATGACAATTAGACAAAGTCATGATGATAATAGAATGGTCCATCGACTTTTGAAGTAGTTGAAACGAAAAAAGAACGTTGACTAGAAACCGTAATGTCCATGAATTGTTGAAAGATGTTAAGTCAAACATTAAACATATGTAGATTAATTATAAATTTATATGTCTAGTAGAAAAAAGCACCGATAGTGATAGTTTATAGAATTAATCATTCATCAAACGAGAAGACTAAAAACTAAGTGAGAATAGGCTTTCTATAATTTAGAGGATGTAATGAAGTGTTAAAAGACTAAATATTTGAAGCTACCGTTATTAAAAGAATGCAAAATTCCCAATAGTGTCATTTTGAAAGCATGAATTAACTTTTATCATATTGATGTTATTAGCTTAAAGAATGCGTAACAAGTTTATTTATCAATTGTTTCAAATGATTATTTGTTTTTTTACTGAAACAACTTGTCGGGTAACATATAGGATCTAAAGGAACTAGAAAGATCAGATAACTGATATACAACAAAATTTAAAGGCTAATCATTCACGAGTAAATATAAGAGAAGGAAATACTGGAACTTTGGAGAAAGTTCCATATTCACAAACCATCAAAATCATGATACAGTAATTCTGTTTACATAGTAGCATTAATAGCTTTGGAACCATTTAATAAAAAATAAACTAAAAGTGGGAGTAACCAAACACAGGATAGTAAACATTAGTAAGATAATATACAATGAAAGTGATTAATGCCTTGCTTAATTGTCAATATTTAAACTGATTGATAAAAGTAAATAATTAATTAAGTCCTGTCAAGAAGTAACAAAGAATACAGTTACTATGAAGTAATTGACAAGCATTTACATTATTAATTGCATCTGTTTTTCTGCCTATTAGTTTTAACTCTAGTAGAAAATGCTAGGACTACCATCTGACGAATAAGCTTCAAGATGGTACACTGTTTCGTTTTATTACTTTCCAAACATATTTTATATGTTACATGGTTTATTCTTTATCTTTAGAGAAGGGTTTTTGTGGATAATATATTAATTTCATTGGTTGTGATCATGAATTAATTGAAGGTAGACAACTATGGAAAACCTGGAAGCACTGGACGGTCGTTTTGTCCTATTGTGGGACTCCTCAACAGTGCGTGGGATTCGAGCCCGGGACCACTATACCACTGAACTGGCCGGTATCCAACGGTATTAATGTTATTCTATGAAACTGAGCTTCCGTCCACCACTGTAATCAGTGAGTTACTATCTCACAGCAAACCTGGTTGAACTCCATTAGTCACTGCTTCTCACTAGAACTCCAGGAAATACCTCTTGGAAACAGTCACCGGGTCTGTTGTCGTGGTCTACCTTCGATTGATTCATGAATTTAACTATTAAACTATTCTTTATCTATTTATGTCCGGCCAAACCAAAACGTGGCATCAGTGTTTGAAATCACTAACTTCTAGTCTGAGCCATGTTGGTAGATACAGACTACTTGGTTGGGGTCTGCGTGACTATCGTAACCAATGGTTACAGACTCTTGGTGACATGGTTCAGAATCGATCACAATGGCGTAGGTGTATACAGTCTCTGTCTTCCCTTAAACCATGAGATTAAAATCTCTTCATATCTTTCTTTCTACGAACTAATTCTTTCTTCCTGTTCTATATCCTTATTGCAATCTTTCTTTTATATATTACCACCTCTGAACTAACTACTTTTGTGAATCCGGTGTCCATCTTGTTGTGTTAATGAAGTATGGCAACCTGGACCGACGCATAAATATGGCTGGTCCTACGTTGTAGCTGACTGACTGACTATTTCCTGTATTTATTGAAATGTAAATAATGCTGTCTTTTGCGGTCATTGATTACATAACCTGAAATATTAAAATTAATAACATCATAGAGAAGATTCATTTTTATATAATTTTCATCAAAGATATTTTTTATAGTATCTTCAAATGACACATTGTCAATGTATCCTTGATTATTAAAACGTGATTATTTTTTGAGTATTTTTTATTTCGAAAAAATTTAATTTAACTAAAATTACAGGATTTTCTTTTTTTTTTAATTTTTTTTAACAAAAAGAAAAAGAAACAAACAAAAAAAAGAACAAATAAACTTTTTGTTTGTTTGCTTAATCGTTAGATGAACTTGAAATTTTAAATGATGACCCATTAGATATGATAATTTATTGGTTTTTATGTTAATTAATCGATGAACATGTGAAGTACAATAAGAAGTGACTTTTATCTTAATCAGTTATAAGATATATAGTTACTTATTAGAAATGAAATGAACCTAGCTAATGGAAATTACTAAAAGTAATGCAAAGAAAATCATGAAATTAGAATTCTAAATGTAAAAGAAATATAAATATACTTGGTTATTACTTATGATCTCTAGTAACTTATTAACTTAAAGGTTAAATCATATGCAAACTCAACAAGACTATAATATTCTCGTTAGTATCATTTGTAATGTCTCTCTGAGTGTAGTTAGTTCAGAAGTTATTTTTTTCACATGTTTAATATGTCTGTTGTTGTAGAAAGTTTCCTCTATGCATTAACTGACACCTGAGTAAGAGGTCATTTTTCTGTTATCAATTTGTTAGTGCTCATGAAACTTTGATGACTACAAGCTTTTTAAGCAAAAGTGAATAGTGGCTAACAGTGGAATCCAGGACGCACGTTTCGTCCTAGGTGAGACTGTTCAGCTGGATGTACTTGAATATCGGTGTTGATGTTCACTCTGGGACTCGAAACCAATACCGTTCACTTCAAATGCCAACAAGAGATTGATCAACTGTAGTCTTAAATAATAATGGGAAGATACAAGTAAAACAACACTAAGTGAATTTAAACTTCACTTCATTGCACAAGCAGGTGCCTATTAGAAATCAGTATCTACGTGGATGATGAGATGACGTTTGAAGTGAATCTTACTGGGTTCGAGTACCGGAGTGAACATCAACTCTGATATGCAGGTACATCCATCTGACGAGTCCGGAATATGACGAAACTCACGACATTGATTCCACTGCGATCCGCTATCCATCTTTGCTTAAAAAGCTTGTTACTTAAGGCTATATCGAGGCAATCCTCACAGTATGCACATATGTCAACAAGAGACTGATCGATTACAGTCCTAAATAACAATGGGAGATACAAGTAGGAACAACATCAAGTGAATTCTTCTGACTACAGTTTACTGTTTCAACGAATCAGTAGTGCACTCAGTTTTATATCAGATTATTTGAAAAATCCGACAGAAAAATGTGAAATTATATTTCGTACTAGCTGGCAGTCGTCAACATGGTTTGTCTGTTGGTAGCATCTTTCAATAACAATGTTTTTCATCATATTCATTCTCTACACATCATTTTCACATTTATTTGACTTGATCAACGAAATTTCGCTTTTGTGTACATTGATTATACAAAATTGCTGAGTGAATTGCCTCGGGACTTTTGAATTTTTAGTTAAGATGTTTGACAAATATTTGTTACCTTTTTACATTTCTGCAATCGGTTGTTGTCTTTCAACTTTTCTTGATATAAAGTATTACATTTTGTGATTGAATTTATTGAGAACATGATAGAAGTACTTCATCATTTTTTAGAAAATGTAAAATCTCATTGAATCAGCAATTTTTCACTGAATGTATTTATCACAAATGACATTTTATTGAGATAAAACTCAATGAATAATAGTACGATACTTAGCTAAAAAAGTTTTCTTATTATGTATGAATATCATCGTTATCAATACTAGTAACTTCCAAGGGAAGTTTAGTGTAGGATCAATTTTATAACAATTATCAAACATCTTGATACAGGACATCAGATCGATACCTTGCAATCTTTCAAGGTGATTAGTAAACAGCTAAACTCCAGTCTTCTGAAGTTTGCTGAAGTAGTTGCAATCAGGCGTCAAAAGCGTGACTTATGTGTTCAAAAGTAGATGGTTATTAATCTTTCCTTTTCTTGGTGACAACTATTCCTTCATTGCATCTTTAAATTTTAAAACTCTTTCTTGCATTTAATACATCATTGGGTTTTATTTCCACTGTCTTCCAGGTTAGTAATCTTATTTTATTAACTGAGCTCAAAAACTCATTTTATTTCCATCAACGTCTACTCATTATATAATCACTTGTTTCTGGCCTTTTGAACTGTTGTCACAATGAATGTTGTAGAATTTTATTCTACATAAGGTATATATTTACACTATTCAGTATATTTAATGAATTTACACCCTTGCTATACTATACAAATATGTCTTCAACATAACTTCCAATTGGACCCTTTTCATGTAAGTAATTTGAACCTATTATGTAGTTACGATTTTTAAATATCACAGGTTGTAGGCAGCTAACGAGACTCAACGAAATAAAATGAATTCATGCTATTCTGCTAGAATCATTGTTCTTGTTCTTTTCAAATTGACAAAGGGAACTATGTTTATGAAATGGTCTAATCGTTGTGTAGTAATAATTATTTAATGATCGTCTGTTTCATTTAATACATTTTCATACAATGATAGCAGTGTTTTTGAACCTAAACTAGTCAAATTCATAATAATAACTAGAGAAATTCTATAGCCATCAAAAACGTACACAAGATTTAAACAATGAAGTTATATCCAACATACATACTGCTGATTCTATAAAAAGGTTTTTAACAAAAATTAAGTTTGCAAAGGAAGCTTATCTTACGTTTGCGCTGGATTTAATCAGCACTTCTGTGAAAACAAAGATTACACTTTTATCTAAATAGTCAAATAATGAATAGCCATCCATTCTTAATACGAAACTAGGGATCTTTTAGTAAAAAAAGTCAATATCATGAAAGAAGATCGATTAGGCATAAACCAGGGATCAAGTATACTGGGGATTAATACATCTGCATAAAACTGAAATAAAGTTTTTTTTAAATTTCGACAAATAAAACAGTGGACATTCGCAAACATTTGGCTCTTGAAGTTAACGATTCTAAGAGAAAAGATTAATATCTTCATAGATACAAAAAAAGAACTAGTCCACTTATCACAATAGGGAATGGGAATTTAGTTGTGAGGATTATGATAAGCACAGATTTCAGTAAATTGCAAAAGAAACCCCACATAAAATGTAGGAAAACAGTTGAACTGGCAAATAAATAAATAAAAAATCAAATTAGATTGAACAAATAGATAAACTTACCCATGAATTGCTCTTAAAAATTTACGTTGATGTGTTCTAACTTTAGAAGCATCTACACGTTTGACAAGTTTTGTATATTTGTAAATAAGCCATGTTTCTCGTAGTACATTAGCAGCATAATTTTTAACCTTGAAATGAATTATATATCATGAAACAATAATCATTTCCAATAATTGACATAAGTGAATAGCTTTTGATCATTATAATTTGTTAAAAATAATACTGACTAATATAGTTGACTACATGGAATTAGTAGGATCTTGTATATCTTTGATACTTTAATTAATTATTGCTCTCAATGATATTTCAAAACGTTTCCATCAGACCAATGTTACAGACATTTTTGTATTGTTTGTTTGAATCTTCCCATTGATGTTTAAGACTGTAATAGATTAGTTTATTATTGGCCTATGTGCATTCTGTGCAAACTGCCTCGATATTATCTTGAGTCACAAGAATTATAAGCAAAGATAGATGATGTAGGCACATCCAGCTGATGAGTCCAAGACGGTATGAAACGCGCGTCCTAGATTCCACTGCTAGCCATCATCCATCTTTGCTTATAAACTAAGGTTACGTTCACAAGGAGATTAGATAATAATTGTTTTTTGTAACTGTTTGCTATGAAAAGGTAGTTATCATTGGATCTTGTTTTGCCACACTTTTGATTTTGCGGTATAAATAATATCAAATAAGCAAATGTTATTTTCAGTGTTAGGTCTCATAAAGGTCAGTTAGTCAGTAACAACGTAGAACTTCGTACGTACGTACTTCAGTTCAGGTTACCATACCACATTAGCACAGAGATGCAGTTGTCGATTCAAATCCCGTAGTGGTAGAGGTACTAAAAGTATAAGCAGTATCGAAGATTTGGGTTTGGAGATGTTATTCAAAGATTATAATCCAGTGGAATAAATTTGGGAAGAAAAAAAGAGACAAGGAGGAATCAGGAGATTAAAATTTGGGAGAACACAAAGAGTGTATGCACATGCGCCATTGCAAACGATTTTGAGCCATGTCATTCAGGGTCTCTAACCATCGGTTGCTATCATCTCGCGGTCCCCAACCAGGTAGTTTACACCTACCCATATGACTCAGTCCACTTGTCAGTGACTTCATGGACTTGTGCCATGTTTTGGTTTGGCCGCCCCTAGCTTTCTTCCAACCTATTCCTATACCACTGAACATAGCACGTCGAGGCAGTCGGTGGTTGGGCATACGTAACACGTGTCCCAGCCATCTCAACTGATGAAGTTTCACCACTTCATCAATCGATTTGCCACTCTTATCTAGTACCCGTTTCCTAACACTATATATTTGTGAAGGAGGATTTATTCAGTTGTAGAAACTAAGAATGCAGTTGGAAACAGTTTTAGTCTTTAATAAAAAATATACTTCATAACATCAATTCATTTTGTATTATTTCAACTAATTACCTTTTTATTTAATTGATTCTCCATCATAAAATGAATCACATGCTTTTCTGCTTTAGATAATTCTAATTTTCTAGCGAATACTGCAACAACTAACGCTGTACACCCAGAACCCTGTTGAATAGAAAACATTATATCAGCACTACAAAAACAAGCTAGTAAAATGTTTATGAAAATGACAGCATTAGTCATATTTAAGGTATAAATATTTTTACAGACCAATATTCAATCTAGTTGAAGGGGTTAGTGGAGATTGGCATAACTTTTGGAATATACTTGTCATAGATGTTCTTGAAGTTCGAATAAAAAGTTCTGAATAATGGCGGTCAGATAAATAGCTAATGAGACAATTATCACTGAATACAGTGAATGAATATCACAGTTCTATCTCAAACTGACCAAATTTGAAATTATATGTTATTAGACGCTGATCAATTATTTCTAATAATTGAGCATTTCTGTAATACCCGAAGGTCTTGAATTCGATTTCTGGTGAAGTTGTGGGTGCGCACTGATAATGAGTGAAATACTAGGACGAAATAGTTACTTGTCGACCCCCTCCACTACCACTAGTTTTCAATTACACCTAAGATGACATCAGACTGTGACGAAGACAACCTACATATCAGTAGTTAATTGTTAGTTAATTGCGACAATATGTTGAAAGTGCTAGAGTAAAACGTAAGAAACGGTTGTGGTGTAAAGATACTATGTGTTGAATACAACAAATCTATAATATGGCTAATTGGTAACACGAAACTTGAAAGAAGATGGCTGTTTAACTTGCCTAAACCATTTAAAGACGTTTTTCAGTTATTAAATGAATCCTCTGGTCATATGTAAGCAGCATTAAATATATTACTGTAAGACACAAATATTAATTTTGATACTTATACAGTAAACGTTTTAACCAAAATCTGTACACTGTAAAGTAAATCCGGACTGAGTCGAAACAGGTGATAGGACATTTAAATAGACTAGCTGAAACAGTATGGCCCCAGCTTATTGATTTTAAGAGTTTTAAACAGTTAATTTCCCAGATGATGAAAGCTGTGCTTCTTGGAAGGATTTCAAGTTTTAGATAGCGATGTGTAGAATGTTAAAGTTGCTTCAGGTGTATTAGCGTGGGAGCCAATTATTATGTTATTTATAGTTTTCAGTGTTTTTACAGACATTATGAAAGTAGTTAAATATCATTTAAAGAAGATACTACAAATAGTTTTCTCATATATATAAGTAAGCATGGAATTATAGTAAACTGAGAAGTATAATATCATTAATTAATATATGAATAGTTTAATAATATCAAGAGATTACATAACATTTTTAAGTCCTTTTTTAAATTTACCATAACCCCTGTAGCTAAAGCAATCACACGACCACAATAGGTATGCGGCACAATATCACCATAGCCAATACTCAAAAATGTAACTGCAATTAACCACATAGAATTGAGTAAACTTCCGTTCTCCGTGTCATAAAAGCTAAAATGTGTGAGAAAAAAATTATATTACACTGTAATTAATATTTACATCAGAAGGAAAACTATCTTTAAAATTAAACCTTTTTCTTGTATCTATTTCCTCGACTACAACCACATTTCCTCAAACTGAATCTCTTTCTTCCATATCTGTTCATAATAAACATAAACAAGTAGATATTTGTAACATTAGAACCACTCAATATATAGAATACCATTAAAGAAGAAGAATGTATTTGTAAAATCTCAGCGAAAGAATTTGAAGTAAATCCAACGTTTCACCTGACAATCTGGTCCAAATGCATTCTTTCTCTTTAATGTCTCAAATACTGTGAAATTATTCGATCAAATTTAGACGAAAGTTCTTACATAGAATACCAGTTACTACAAACTTTGGGATATTAAATCTATATATATGAGGAATAAAAAACGAATAACCGCTGAAATAGATGTCTATTCTTGAATAATATTGTCCGACCGGCCATTTTTTTTAAAAAAAAAACCCCACCCCATAAAAAAAATTTTCCACCCCAAAATTACAATATTTTTCATCCCGTGTTTCGTCCAATGAAATGGCTAGTTTCAAAAATTAGATTTAATTGGTTAGTTATGTCTTGAAAATTGTTATAAATTATCAGTACTTGTCGACGAAGCACAATCTCAATCGTCATTATGGAGCAGAGTAACGTGCCGAGTACAAGCGCTGGTGTTTCTCACGTAACGGAAATGGAGGAAGTCTTTTTGACTACCTTGTTTCTGGTTGCGTTTCCATCGGTTGAAGCGTTAAAGACCACTATCACAAATTTTGAAAGATCGACTTACAGTCATTATGTAGTGAGAGATTCGCATATTGGCAGAGATCAAAAATCCTACATTAAATTTGTGTGTTGGCGAAATGGGCGTATAAGATCTAGCGGTTCGTCACAACGTATTAGACGGAGGAGGTAATTTGGTAAATTGTTTTATAATTTTTTGAACGAAGGGCTTCTATGAACACCCAATGTCCAGCATTTATGTTTTGTAAGATTATAGACGGCTATTGGACTGTTGTACGTGGGAATGTACATCACAATCACGAGTGCAATTCCCTGAGGTACCAGGGTAATTCATGGGTGCGCAGGTTAACGGATGGGGAGTTTGAAACTGTGAGACCGCTGCTGATTTCCGGTACCGCTGCATTCCACATAAAGAATTTTGCTTACCAATCTTATGGCAAATGTCTGACCGCTCAAGATGTCTGCAATATGCGGTACAAAGTGTTCTCACACGCGAACCTTCCTGGTACGGAATTTGCCAATTTATAATGTACACTATAGGTGATTACGGGAAATTGAAAGCTCACATAACATCCTTGGGTGGGCTTTGCGAATACGAATTGGACGATGAGAACTGTCTATCGTATTTCTTCTTCATGACCGCTGAACAAGTGAATTTGGCCGGTCACTTTTGTGACGTAATTGGTTTTGACGGGACGTACAAAACGAATAACGAGAACGTCCATTTATATCAAGTCGTTGCCCTGGATATGAATTTTAAAGCAATACCCATGTGCATTGCCTTTTTAAGTCGCGAAACGTCAACATTAATTTCTGCCTTCCTGCATTTTTTCCAACGGTGTACCAACAGTCGACAACTGGTAGGCATTGTGACCGATGATTCACCTGCAATTGCTGCTGCTATTACGCAGGTGTATCCGGATGCACACCATATTCTGTGTCGCGTACACCTTGTTCGGAATGTGATAAAGAGGGTAAGTGTTTCGTTCATTAACATTAACCCAGTAACCGTTATTGTAGAGGGTGCGATCAGAAATTGTACAACTGTTCTTTCGCCTCATGTTCACTCGAACGGTTGAAAGGTAAATCAAAATCTACATAACATGATTTTGTAGTTTTAACAACGTACTTTCGTTAATCGAAATGTCGGACGGAACGTTTGGCAGATACGTCAGAGACCACCTTCTACCACGGAAACACAAATGGTCCACTGCTTTTCGACCGCCATCCACTCTCTTTGAACTGAGCAATACTAACTTCGTCGAGACCAGTCACCGAGTCTTGAAGATGTATCACCTTAATCGAAAAACACCGGTTCTCAGATCCATTTTCAATGTGCTGCTTCGTACTGGATATTGGATGGAAGCAAGATTACATAAATATTCAATGGATTGTCGGGGGAAAGCCGATATTGGTGAGGAGCCGGAAGTACGTCGACTTCAGGAACGACTGACACCAGTTGCCTGTCAACTACTGAAGCGACACCTTCGCATTCCTATAACGCAGTCTGCATTGACGGAAGATTTATTCACCGCTATGGACGCCACGGGGACGTACTACGTACACGTCGATACTAGCCGGTGCTCGTGTCCATTCTTCATTGAAAACGGATTACCATGCCGTCACATATTGGCTTACTGCACACACAGTAACACCGATGTGAACGTACAGTCAATTTGTGACAGGTGGTTACACTATGATGGTTATCTGACTCATATTGCAGTTGAAAATTATTTCCCAATGCAATTGAGTCAGCCAAGCATGAAGAATGCAGTGATAGCGTTAATCAGGCGAATGTCGGAGGAACAATGCAGTTCACTTCATGACTTCATAGTTCACGGTAGACTACCAACAACGCCAGTAAACTTGCATGTAGAACAGCATTCGTACACCCTTTCAAGAACCTCGACTAACGTAGCAGTGCCGTTTATACAACGAGGAACTGTTGATTTGGATGAAACGCTCAGTAACGATGAGGAGGAAGTAATTTCTATTAACTCCGAAGAGTTAACTGAACGGGACATCGAAAATGAAGAACAGGATGACGAGAATCGACTCTGCGACATCTGTAATCTTGCGCAGCCTCCATGTGAAACCGGTGATGCGGTTGGTTGGGTTTTCTGTAGATGTGAAGCAATGTTTCATACCTTCTGTGCCTACGACCCATCGCCGAACGTACGAGCAGTGCACTGTCCTATCTGTGGCGCCATTACAAACTAATAGTGACGACGTCCGACCGCGAGAACGAGTAAAGGCCCTTTTCAGGGCCACCCACAATTTGATTTCCATTATTTTTTATCTACTACTTTTCCGCGGCAAAGGTCAAGTGATTAAGCACCTATTAATGTCTCATGAATTTAGATATCCCTTAGAGATTAATAATGGAAAAGCGATTGTCGCTCATGTATTCGTAAACTTGTTTCTAACGTTTATTAGATATGAAGGTTAAGAAAACTTAGACAAGATTTTGTCATCTAATAAAGACTAATCTAGTAATTTTATATTTAAAATAATGTGATTACCGTTCATGTTTTAGTAACACATTTGAAATCTATCTAATAATAGTACATTTTGAGTACATTTTAATAGGAATATTTCAATATAGTGAAAATTGTAATTTTGTCGTTAGGTCAATGAATTTATGATGACATTTATTAGTGAATATTATTACAAAGATGAATGTGATTAAAGCTCATAGAGAAGTAACCAAAATTGAGAAAATTAACTTATTTAGGAATAAAATAATGACATTAGAAAACAAGTTGAAACCATCATCGTTGAAATGATTCATGTGATAAAAGGTCATATAGTAAGTGTAAAAAGAAATGCGAATATTAGCTGTTTCATGAATACAAAAAACAAGAATTTCATATTCTTGTTTTATATTAAAAGTTCCTGAAACCAGAACTATGCGTACGTAAGAAGTACGTCTGATCGTAAACTAAGCCTCCATTGTTATTCATAACTACTGATTATATCACCGTATTCATTTGCACACCTCTTCAACTATTTATTACTGGTACAATCACATTGTACCAGTTAAAAATTCCCTTAAAATATTCAAAAATAAAAAATAATTTAGCAAACAATCGTTTTCATTAACTTCATCATCACACTATACAGTTATTAGTCCATAATTTTAATATTTTATAAAGTCCAAAAATAAGGCATGGCATTAATGAACTTGACAATGTAATGTGTTAACAATGGTTAACGTTTACATCTGTAACGATATATATGTTTACAAATTAAAAAGGTCATTCACTAAAGATCGGGATGATTTGCAGTAAAGTGTTCAGTCACAGTAAGTGACTAAGCATAATAGGAAAATTGAAAATGCAAAAAAATTGGTGTCAATGAAATACATAGTACAAGAATTGAATCTTGTAAATTGACATAATAATAATAATAATAATAATAATAATAATAATAATAAGGAAATTAAATAATAATAACATTGTAAATGTCCGTTGATACAGTTGACCTTATTCATATTTATACGTTTAAAGTCGATAGATATTTGTTGACTCAGTCCGACGACGTAGGCTTGTTCATTTACACTTCATGAAACTAATACTTCAAATGCTTGTCAAAAATGGTTACATTCATAATGTCTAGATAATTCAGGTTTCATATTACGGCGGTTGACAATATTCACACATGACTGATTAAACACACACTAGTTTTTATTACAACCGAAAAATTAATTTTAAAATACAGAACTACAAATAATTTACAAGTGAAAATAATGAACCGTGTTTCAATGGATTTCCAAATTAACCGCATTGAAATCTAACGTTGTCTAATTCTCATTATGAATGACCATTTACAAAATAATCGTTTACTAAATATTAAGTGTCTATTTCGGAAAATTTATTACTACTTTCATATACTGTCTAAGTCAGTTCATTAAATGATGGTCTATGATTGCTTCACCTGAATTATACATATTGCAACCAGTAAGTTATCATAATGATTTATTGATATGTTGATTTGTTTCTCGAACTAACAGACCATGTGTTACAAAAAAACCTGTGCACACACTTTGGTGATAATTTGTTTATTAATTTGGTATTAAATATTTGACTACTGACCTCATTCAGTAATCCTTATTATCAAATATTCAAACCGGTTTTCGGTGGCTTTTTCCCAAAAACTTTCTTTTACTGAGATACATATAATTATTCGTGTTCAGATAATTAACGACTTCAATTCAAGGTATACTTGATCGGAAAACAAAAATTGATCCCAATACACATTCACTAACAGTAGGATTGCACGGTAATGCAATTAAGTTGGTGTCTTTTTCTTCAAAAGTCTAGATTTTTTTCAAGACTAAGATTACACAAAAAGGATTATTCATTATCATTAAATTTCAAATGTCAAAAATGAAAATTCTGACATCCAATCACAGCTCCAGATGCGATTTCGATTTCAACTAATCAGATTACAAAGATGAACCGTTTACGACCAATCAAAAAATTATTAAAGATAACACAATGTTTGTTCATTATCACTTGAGCACACACTTGAAAAACAAGTCCACCAATCAACGATACCTAAATTTTTCATTCACACCCCACAATTTTTTTAAAAGGGGTGGTAGGGAATCATATAGGCCGGTCACTTAATGTCAACCTCTATTCTTAATCAAATAATATAACTTTTCATTTGTTTATTTGTATAGTATACGAAAAATCATTTTAATGGTTATGTCGAACAGTTTATTTCGACGGAATAAAAGAAACTATACATTTTAAATGTGAAAGAATCTAAAAAAACAATTCATAGAATTGACCTTAACTTGTAGAACAACTAATTCGTATGACTACTCGGTAATCGGAAGGTGTTTACTTTCGCTAATGGAATACACCCAAAGTATGACCAGATAAAATAAAAAAAACGGCTATATTATTACGCGTTTGTATTGAACTTGTTTGTAATACCGAATGAAGAAGCATTTTTTTTATTAAATCCCTAATTTAGTCAAATAGTTTTATTAAAATTAAGTAGTAATTCTAAGTAATTTTGTGGATTGGTTAAAGTTAGACATTAACACCGTTGTATGCCGGCCAGCTCAATGGTCTAGAGGCTAAGTGTTCGCTCAAGAGACCAATAGGTCCTGGGTTTGAGTCTTGTGGGCGGGATCGTGGATGCGCAATGCTGAGGAGTCCTATACTAGGACGATACAGCCGTTCAGTGCTTCCAGGTTTTCCATGGTGGTTTAGCTTTAATCGACTCATGAATTCACCTACTAAGTAATTTCTATTGAACAGTGATACCATTAAGGGCATTGTTTTTAAAACTAATAAAGTACTGAATAATTTCTTTACATAGATTTAAGCAACTTATCAGTGTGAACTAATCACTCCATAATAAAAAATTCATTTATTTGTTTCATTGAGTTGACAGACTACATTCTACGTTTATTTATAAGGTACAAGGGAGAAACCTCTAAATTACATTCATTTTACATATTAATATTTTCATTTTTAAAAGAATTCGTTAATGATTTGAAACTGGTTTTTGCTATGAGTGGTGAGACTATAGTTTATGGACGGTCTTTGAGAGACTCTAAAGTGACTTTGAGGGTGTCCACCTAATAACTAGGACCAAATCAGGGTTATAAACCAGTGTGAGGAATTAGAATTATGATTTACAGTTGATAGTTAGAGTTTGGAATTAGATTCAGGTTTTCATCACGAACTGACATCAGTTATAATACCAAAATTCTATTTAGCTAAATGAATGGGTGAATTTCGCGCTAACATCCGAGAACTTTTATCTTACCTGATTGGTTCGTCCATGAGTTATAGTGTAGCCCTATGATTATTAAAATTTCACAAATGCTAAATATCTGCTTTATTAATCTCCTTGAGATCATTTTGGTCTTGTGGATTAGAATGCGAAGTGTATAAACATATATTTGATGGGTCAGTATTCCATGCTCATATTCCCCTTCATCAATCAGTATATTTATTGGACTCATTACTCGATATTGATTGTTTGGGATCTAGATTTGACCTCTTACATCAATCATGTTTTTTCGTTAAAACGCATACATCCATAGTCCTTAAGGTAAGTAAATCAGTATTATATATTATAACTTAAATCATGAAGGAAAAGAAGTCCCTTTCTTCGCTATCATAGTGTGATGAAAAAACTTACTTTACTTGACTAAACTAGACGAAATTTAGCTATTTTCACACAGAAGAGTGACAAAGAGAAAAATACTGATTCTACCCAAATCTGTGTTAATATTTAGCTTCCATTTTTTCAAAAATTAACTTATCAGAATTCAAAAACCGCATTTATGAACCTATTTGTCTGTCTCCAAGGTATATTTTTCTGTATCTGAACCAGTTATGTTTTGCGGCTTTTTACAACAAATAGAAGAATACGAAAGGTTTCGAACCTACAGTATTATTTGAGCACTCAGCTATTAATTCATTCCCGACATGAAAAACATATTAATCTATTACATTTTAATATGCAAACGTTTTCATGAAAATTTATGGTTTTTAATATCAAATATCTTTTTTCTAAATTTATGCACAGAACATTTATATCAAATATAAACAAGGGCAGTATAGTACAATACAGTACAGAAAAAATAGCAGAAAAAGAATTATGAGATAATAAATATGAAGGTTCTTGAGTGTAAGTTGAAAATACAAAAGAAAGTTGATGATGGAATTTCAGGCACTAAATGTATATCCACATGATATTGTTTACTTGTATCTTCCGATTGTTGTTTAGGACTTCAGTTCATCAGTCTCTTATTGGCATATGTGCATCCTGTGTGGGTTGCCTCGATATTACCTTGAGTCACAAGCTTTATGAGCAAAGATGGGTGGTGGATAGCAATGGAATTCAGGACGCGTCTTTCGTCCTATTTAAAGCGAACGATGATGGATTCGAGTCCCGAGGTAAACATCAATTCCATGATGCAGGTATATCCATCTGACGAGTCTTGAATAGGACGAAATGCGCGTCCTGAATTCCACTGATAGCCACTATCCATGTTTGCTCACTAAATGCATATGTATCAGCGTTTTAGCTATCTGTAATATTTTACTTATATACTTACAGTTTTACTGACAAACAGTAAGAAACTTTACAAACTGGTTAAACAGCCCATTAACTAATCAAAGCCTTATAACTTTATAATATTCAAAAGTACTTTATAAAAAGATTTTTTTAAATCTGTCATGAAAACATTTCGGAATATATATTTTTAAGTAAACATTAAACTCACCTTTCACATGCTCTTAATGTCCACGAATAAACAATCCACAGACATAATATAAAACCAAGTAGAAGCTTTCCAGGACACATAGTCATTAAAGTTTTAAAAATAAATCTTGTATCAAAATTAACTTTGTTCATAGCTCCAATACTACGTGATCCAGCATCAGTAAACAATTTCGAGTGTAATAACATAACACGAAATAATAAATATAATCTAAAAAACATTGGTACAGAAAGAATTAAGTCTATTGATACAATTTTAACTGAATGACTTTGTACACTATCGAAAGATGAGAATGTAGATAATGATGGTAATGATGATGTTGACACAGTTGACATAGAAGTAATGGGGGTTGGAAATGTAGATAAACCAGAAAATGGTCTAAAGTTAACAGTCCTATTTGTAGCTTGTCTAGTTGTCATTCGTGTAGTGTTGTGCAAAGTTAATGATTTAGTTGTTTGCTGACTATGATAAATAGGTGAATAAATTTCTGTTCCTGGACCGACTAAGGCAGACGATACAGGGAATTCTATAAGATATGATCCTGGAAATGGATGTATAATACAGATAAGCACTTCAAGTGTCATTTGAAATATACGATTGCAATCTACTGCCATTCTCCAATCTTCAATGGAATCATCACAAGAAAATATCTAAAATAAAGAATAATTGAATTTAGTTGAATGAGACGAAATTTAAAGTACTTTAACTAACAAATAGAAAATAGAAATATTTATTGTGTCATTGATCTTTCGTTTTTTTTTCTGAAGGTTGCTTAAATGAAAATTTAACAAAAATAGACTCCATAGGTTTTCATTTCGACTAATACAAAAAATCATTTTAACTTAGATTTATTCATTTTAGACAAGTTTAGATCAATCATTGTCATGGATACACATCATTTTTGAAACTTCAGATTTTCTGGAGGTCACTTGAATCTGTAAATTCGACATCTAGTGATGATGGTTTAATTCTCATGAAACCAATCAACTGCTATAATACCATGAATACACTTTCTTGATAAGTACCAAGCAGTATGAGTTTTAGGTCAAAGATTTCCTGCTAATTACTGACATCCACTATATATTCAACACGACATGTTGTGGTGTAGAATTCCTTAGACCGTCAATTATACAGGAACCTGGTAGATATCTCACTCAAGTTCCCTTAGATAATTCATGTCTAGTCTTAATACACTTACTACTGTCTTTTCTAGCTTCCAATTTATCCTACAAAGCATGTTAATTCACGCATTCTGAGAAAAGTGATTATTAGTAAAAACTTAACTTTCTGATCTAGAATTCTTATTTGGAGATACTGCATTATAACTCATTTGAGTGTTTAACTTAAGAAAAGTTTCATTACTAAGGTACATAGTTATTATGAAACAGCGTAAATTCAAAACAGTTTTATCGTATACTACAATAGTTAACTTATTTGACAATGAAATATTTTTCTTTATTTAATATAAACATTATTTCAATATTCAATTGTATAATCGGAATTAGTTTTGAAAGAGAAAGAAACAACAATCACTCACCTTGATAACATAAACATGATAAGCTAAAATCAAACCCAATAAAATACAAGTTGATATTGATATACATGTTTTTGTTATAAATGAATAAATGGAATCCTGCAATTGTCAAAAAGTAGAAAACAAAAAAGAACAGAAAGGAAGGAGAAATGATGGTGAATTAGTTTGAATGAAGATATTTCACATCATAATAGTTTAGAGAAATAATGAAGCATTCTAAAATGCACAAATATTTCCTTTTGATACAAATAAAGCTATAAGTTGGCAATAAGCAAATATAAATAAACTTGAAATCAAACCATAATGTCACTTATAAATAAATAATATATTTGTAATATCCCAATGAGTAGAAAATTGGATTTTCTGACGTTTCGTGACTTAGTGCAAGTCACTTCTTCAGAGAATAAATGTCACCTGTTACAGGGTATATGTAAGTTTTCTTTTGTATTTTATCTGTAGGATCTATTAGTGCAATGTTGAATAGAGTGAAGTTAACTTCAACTAAATAGGAACTTTAATAAGATGTAGATAAATCTGGTCAGTGATTATTTACGAATAAGAAATCTAAGTGATAAGTTTCCTATTTAATTATTGGATTTTACATTGTAGTAAACATATTATAAAGCATAGCCAACATCCCATTTTTAACTTATACCATGTCAAGTTGAATATTAACCAGTGACCAGTATTGAGATATTTTGATAAAGGCTTAAATATTATATGAAAGATTCATTTTACTAAGGTCAATATAACTTTGGAGTTGTACATTTGACATCACATATAAAAAAATAATACCGTGTTGCATAGTCACGATTTCATTGTCATACATTATAAGATTTATAACCAGATTCTAGGTGATATTCAGCAATGAGGAAGTGTAAATTCAGGTTGATGTTAAATATTGTCATTTTCTTGGATGTAAATTTTAAAAGTAAAAACATCAAATTTAAAAGATTCACTTGAATAACACATTGGTTTCTTAAATATGATGAAACCTGGTCATAAATAATGATAATGTTACATTATCTGGTTAAAATTTAGTTGATTTTTTAGAAATAGAACGATCAGAGATTTTTGTTTTCTACATTAATTTACAGATATTTTTGACATTTATTATGACATAGAATACTATATTAAAAGGCATGCACATTTACTAGCCTTATTTTGTTACTCTTGCCCCCTAATGCCTTAGTACGACTGAGAGTGAGGAGAGTCAGCTCTCCCTCTCTAAATGATTTCACATAACTACGTGTATACAACCACCACCAGAGAAATCCTACTCACTACATTCCTACGATGGGGGTGTTGTTTGCGAAATTGAGACGATGAAAAGCGAATCTACGGTGCCTTAAGCAGGTTAATGGATATGGAGGATCCACCTAGGACAGCTGGAAAACCTTGATTTTAAGCCGATAGTGCACATGGATCCCAGGATCCTGATGAAACAGATGGCGTATTAACCTGCTCTTGGTCACAGGCTACCATAGGACGGCATCTCCTAACGTTGCTCCACTGCCTTGTTAACTAAACTTTCAGGTCAAAGGTTTGGGGAGTGCCCCCCCTCAACAAAACCACCTTCTTCGGTTTGGGAAACCGGGCAGTACCCCAGCCCTCACGCAGATCGAATGATTTCTTTGGTGCCTCCTTGTACCATTATATATGTGTTTAAATAAATAAATATATAAATAAAATGTTGCTATTAGGTAAACGTTAAACTCCAAAGTTAATTTTAAAGAGATTTCTGTAATTTCTTCACAATACTTAAGTCAGAGTTAAAAAGAAGCACACAGTGTGTAACTCCAGTAAAATGATCATCTGAGGTATGAATTTTCTGTATTATCTTAAGTACATAAAATACACCCTGTTTATAAATCATAATATAATTACGATTATTATTATATATTTAAGCCAACTAACACACTAAATTAGCTATTTTCCTCAGAAGAATGTATGTATGTATGTCTATATTGAGCCTTATTCTCTGATTAAAATTAAAAAAAATTCTTTTTGATTGAAATCATGAGTCAATTGAAGCTAGACCACCATGGAAAACCTGGAAGCACTGGATGGCCGTTTCGCCCTAGTATGAGACACCTCGCCAGTGTTTATCCACGATCACACACCCTGTGGGATTCGAAACCATGACCTATCAGTCTCGCGCCAGGCGCTTAACCAACTAGATCACTGAGCCGGCATCCAATGATTTTAATGTCTAACCTCAACCAATCCACGAAATCGCCCAACCATCTTCCACCCAGTGCTTTCAGGTTTTCCATGGTGGTCTAGTTTCAATTGACTCATAATTTCAATCAAAAACTTAACAATCTCCACAACCTCTAAACTAAGAAAAAAAATTAGCCATCCGAACTTTGTTTTCTGTATTAATCAACAGATGTATATAATAATAATAACTGTTATTATTATTATTGGATACAATTCATGAGATCAGTTTTCTTCTTTATTCTTTCAAATGTATAAGGTCATAATAAGCAATAAAATACATAAAATATATCTTAATAAAACAATAAACTAATCATTACTCATTTTCAATGAAATTATAATACAATCATATCTTGTCTTTACAGGTGATACATAATTAAGTCAATGAAAGTTAATTATCAAAAGATAAACAAACAAAATGTCTTAAATAATAATATATTCCCTTTTTTTATTATTATTTATTAATAGTTTACCATTATTCCCTATACTAATGACCTCGTTTACAATTATTATTATTACTATCCCCTCTTTTTTTTTGTATATATTCAATATAAAACAAACTACATTTATGTTTGAGTTCATCTATATTTAGTGGATCAAAAGTATTAAAAAAGGAAAGCAAAATAAACATTTAAATTACAAATAAATAAAAGATGTTTTATCAATGTTAATTACTTTGACCTGAAGAATTCTCATTCAAAAAAAACCAAAAAAAACAGAAAGAAAAAAACGAAAAAAAGAAAACAATGTATTTGATGATAGTCAAATGATAATAGGGTTATCATATTAAGAAATCCAAGAAAAAAATATACACATATCAATACATGAAAATAAAACTGTCCATTTGTACATAAACAAATCTTAATGAAAGTTCTTGGAATTGGTACTATGGTTTTATCTTACTAGTAAGGTACAACAAAAGAATTATAAATAAATATTGAAAATGTATGTAGTGGCTGTGCTTCGTTAACCGATCACCCTCGTAACCGTTACCATATAATCCTCAACGGTGTTTGAAATCAGAGGGCAAAGAGAAGCAGCGACTATAGTTCTATTAGCAACTAACTCAGACCACAAAGCAGTGAGGCGAATGAGCGAGTCGGCGAACCGAGAGAGTAGAGTATTAAATATATATATATATATATATATATATATATATATATATATATATATATATATATATATATATATATATATAGGGAAATGAATGGATCATCGAATCAATTAAGCAGCTAATAATAAAGCTAGCAGAATGAATATATTCGTAGGCGGTAAGCAATGTTCAAGCATACATATTTCATACAAGCACAACAATAATAAAGGTACAATAAGTTGTCATAGTACGGATGACTTTGTCCGCTAAATAAGTTAACAAAACAGCTTAACTGAGTTAAATGAGAACAAACTCAATTGCACGTGAGTTGCTATATGTACATAATTAAAACTTTGTATAAGACAACTAACAAACTTTAAGAAACGCTTTAGTTAGAATAAACGATATAATCTCATTTACTTCAACACAAAATTATGTCTACAGATTAGGTTGTGTCGATTGTGATACATTCTATATTGGAGAGTCTTTCTGTGAAATATTGACTTGTGGCGAAGAACACTTAAGTTACACAAAAATACCTCTCAATAATCCTGCAGATTAAATCAGCAATAACAATAACCACCAAATTGATATTAAAAATGTCAAAATAATTCAGAAAAGCTTTTCCAACTACAAAGAGAGGCGACTAGCTGAAGCGTTCCACATTATGCTAAATTCCTCTGCCCTCAATAGGAAAGAAGATCTGAATATTTATCCAATTTAAACTATTTATCCAAACAACCACAACGGACACAAAACCACAACCCCCTACTTCATATTACAAATGCGTACATTTTTGCATATCCACACTGTGATACAGAAACTAATATTGTGACAGAATCTCTAAAATTCCAGCGGAAAAGTGTTAACTATTGAGACAGTAAGACTGCATATGAACTATTTACTCATTGATGAAATTATATAAAAAATATTCTAGACAATGAGTTGATAAAATTAAAAATGTTAGAACATCGGGCTGGGATTCACTGACCAAACAGTTTCGCGTGACCTGCAAACTTTCAGTTTGTTGTGATGATTAGTTATAAACCATATTGAAAAATATGTTCAGTACTCTTTGATATTATATAGTTCTCTGATTGGTATCTATTCGTGATGGAGACAAACTTCAACTGACAAAATTGTTTACAAAGTCAATCTTCCGATTTGACTGACGTAGCATAAAATCATGAAGTTTTTTATTGATTAGTCTTATTTGTAACAAAAAGTGCAAATTATATAGTTAATGTTATATCCCGATGAGAATATTGAATGGTAACTGTTGAAATCTATTTCTGACTAATACTATACATATATTTTCATTGTATATTTATTAAGTAATTAAACAGTACATATCGTGTTCCCCTTATTATAGGCTTTATTTTGACCAATGAACTACTATTATACTACTTACCATTATTGAGTTATGCCCTGTCTATCAATTACTACCTCCTACATTCACAGCCACTTTTGGTTAAATCTTGTAAAAATGTTATTTTCTATTTTATGGTACGATGTGGTCTGTTTGGTTTGAATATAAACCCAGTATGTTTGAAATACATGATTCATATCGCTGAGGCTGAGATTTGTGTTCTTGACGTAACAGACAGGGCTGGGCAGGAAGAAGGACCGATAAAGACTCTAGACTGCTCGTACGGGTTTTATGCGTCACTGTTCTCTAATTGGCGGTATCATTACTTTTTATAATCATAAGTCACAAGGCCACAAGTTATAACGGCTAGCTTATAGCTTGAACTAGATCATAATGGCACATATGTATTCACTACAC